AATTGTAAATTCTCACAATTATGCGGCCCATTGTCTATTCATTATTTCAAACGAATGGGAAATTATGTAAAACTACCTCTAAAGAGGAAAGCAGCGTGTAATATGACTTGCCATATTGTTCATGCAATTCAAATACTTTTTGCTTTTTCGGAGAGTTGAAAGCAATCAGATTTAAATGAAATCCGACTTTGCGTGTCGCGGGGGATTATGATACAGTCGCGAGATAAGCTATGATAACTACACTAACATGCCATGAGGTGTGTGCACTCAGACAGAGGCTGTTTTCCAATTAGCTCAAAACTCCTCCAAGGTTAAACAGGAGCGACTGAGAGCTGAACTTATCTTGCCTTGACCACATCAGTGAAGAACAGTGACTATCACTGCTTCTCAAATGGCTACATATATTTGGTCAGTCATGGCTTGAATGCAATGATCATTAAAAACACATATTTAAAATACAGCTTCCAGGCTGATTATCTGCCACACTGTTAATACTCCTGCTTATACTCAGAACCACTTCCTTACTGAAACTGATTCTTTCAGATGAAATAAGATTATCCGTATCAGTTTTCTTTTTTGTTTTCTTTTTGTTTGCATTCATTCATTGTTTTTCTACAGACCTGTTTTATTAAATAGATATATGGTATTCTATTTTTTTTAGAATCGTATTATAACAATATATAATCCTGTGCAATAAAATGAGTTATTTATATGAGTTATTTTTAATTGTGATGTTAGTTTTAACATATTTTGTCTTAGCTTTTTAAGTTACTTTTTTTTTTGTCATGTGTATTTATTATAGTTACTTGGCTCTGATTTTTTAATTTTCATATAATTTAAAGTAGTTTGGCCACTTATTTTTAGAATCAAATCAAATACAAAATGTATTTTTAAACAGTTTCATAACCAGATTTCTCTGGTGTTCAGTGTTTTGTCACTCCTGGAGCATTTATCTAAAATTGTGAGGTACAGTGAGATAAAATCTTTCTGGGAGTAACACATTTTCTCTGATTAAGGAACAAATATGCCAAATTAAGTAAGTAAAGAACTTAAATTGAACTCTGACCCTTAGGTTAAATCCAGAGTAGAAATTCCAGGAAGTCCGGTTATAAACTGCAGCCTTAAGTGATATTCACACATATTGTTTATTCATTTTACTTATTTTGACTGATTTTATTAAGCATTTTTTTTACAATTTTGTGCATCAAATTGTCCTGTGCAGGTGTGTAATAATAAATGCATCATAATAAATTTAAATTTAATTAAGAAAAGTTATGCACACTCTTTACACACAGTGATAGGGTCCAACTATTTATTTCCAAGCATTTATTTCACTTGAGATTGACAATTATGGCTTACAGCTTCTGAAATCCCACATTTTTGTTTCTCAGAAAATGTAAAGAGCACATAAGACTAATAAAAATAGTTGTAACATTTATTTTATGGTCTACATAGTGATGGATAAAACTGTAGAATTGATAGTTTCCCAGCTGACAGTCACTGATACAAGCAGAAACAAGAGGCATGAGCTGGCTGTTTGAAGTGCTGGATCCAAGCATAATATTGGAAAGTTAAGTGGAAGAAAAAAGGTAGAAAAAGTCAGAAGCAAAGTCCATTCAAAAGTTTTGAGGTACGACTGCAGCTGGTGTCTGAGTTTCAAGGGTCACATGTGCAGCACATGGACCATGGATGTTTTATTCCTTGTGATGTGTTCCTTATGAGCAAGAGTGCATTTTGGATTTCATTTACATTTAGATTCTGGATTATAAGTGGAGAGACAGAGTTGAAGCTGACTGAGGTCCAGTTTAAGATTTCTGCAGTCAGTGGTGATTTTGGGAGTCATTTTATCTACTTCATGTTTCCTTCTGCTGACGAGATTTATGGAGACGATGGTTTCATTTAATAATTTGTAAATGATGTGTGGATTCCACAGAACCACTGAGGCTGACTGACCAACAACACAGCCTCACCTGGACCCAGGTGAACCAAGCACTGAGCACATTTAATGCACAGAATATACAGTATATTTTTCAGAAGGTGCACATTTATGTAATAAATTTGTTTTTTTGTTTTTTTTGACAACTGCAAGCCATAATAGCCATAAAAAATGATATTTGCTACACTCTGAGCAATAAATCTATCTACATATGATTTTCACTTTTTATGTTCAAAGACTGAAATAAATTACTCTCAAGTAAATTTGGTTGCAAATAAAAAGCCAATCTAAGAAGGAGTATTGCAAATGAATGATGCCTTTTCATACTAAAAACTCCCCGTACAAATAGAGAAATGAATTAGTTAAAATAAATGTAATGTTGATGAAATGACCAATTGTTATGATCCCTGATAACAATTGGAATAAATGTGTGATTGAACTGAAATGAACTGAATTGAATTGAATTCAGTCAGACTAAACTCAGTCGCTGATCTTGCTGAAAAAAAAGAAAAATGTCATTTTTTAAAATTCTCAAACTCCCATTAAATCTTGGTTTTACTCTATATTTAACAGAAATCTGCACATTTTTCCACGTGGTTCATGAGTTCCTCTAATAAATCGATTCTACTCATGATTCTTATTCTCCAGCTTCTCCTATTCTAATTTGTATCATGTGAAGGACTTTGCAGTGCAACTACTTCCTCTTGTCCTTCTTCCTCTACCTGCTCCTCATCTCCCTTCTCTGCAAGTGCTACCCTCTCATCCACTATCTCCTCTCATCCGCTATTCTTCTCCTCACCTCCTGCCGCACTCCATCCCTCTGCTGAGCACAGGTATTTGTTTAGGAATCTCTCGGTGGAAATTATACTCCATCTCCGGCGCTCCCTATCAACACACAATTATCATGGGCAATCATGCAGAACAGTGCTGAATTCAGCTGGGACTCCCACTCTGATGACATTACCGACTGCAGGGCCCCACTTCTCCAGGACCTTGGCTGCTCAGCACATGCATTATGCCTCAACCTTTTACTCCATTTTTTTTCTTCCCCCGTCCTAATCACACTGTATTACTCGGATATGCTTGAAGAAATTATTTAACTTTTGGTAAATCAAATTAGGATTTCATTTAAATCAGGAAGTCCAGTAGATAAAAAAAATCTCTTTTCTAGGGGAAACTTGGCGGAAAGGACGGCTCCCCGCCTCGGTCCAGGACAAATGCGGAGATCATATCTTAGAATTTATTAGCATTTGCCCACCTGACCTGCAGAGGTTCACCACAGTGCGGTTTCTCACATGGCTCTGCCGAAGATGATGCTGCACAATGTGGAGGCAGTAATTTAAAAAAAAAAAAAAAGAAAGAAAGAAATCTCAGAAACGCAGAAGTGGGAACTTCCATCATTAGAGTCTTTTGTGCAGGGCAAAGTCAGTCTCACAAAAATAATCAGAGCCCCACATTGTGTCACTCCCTCCTGCATTCTGAGGCAAACTGCAGATGCATTTCCCCGTGTGTGATAAGTACATTACAAATCTTGAAAGGCACAGAGTTGATGCAGACGCACGAGAATCAACACAGGAGTACATTCAGATCCTGATCAAATGCTCCATTCATGAGTGAAATTACCATCCGTCTGTCAAGTCAAGGTGTGAATTCTTTCATCTGCAGATCCAAGCTCTGAAGTTGTGATTAAATGCATGACGCCTCGTACTCTCCACACAGACCCCAGATAAGCAAAATGGGATTTCTGCCTCTCAGGATGTGCAGACTGGAGAGGAGACTCTTTCAGGAAAACACTGCCATCTGGTGGTCTGTCACTTCACTTGTTTACAATTTTTCAGGTCTTTGGTCTAAATTTGGTTTTGAAAAAATCTATTTATCTACTTTAAGGACTTCAAATGTAAAACTGAAAGCTGAAAAGACTCAAAGTAAACACTTCAGGAGTGTGGTTATTCATTAAATTCACTCAGTTGAAGAGCTTGGGAACTTTGAAATTGCAGTTATTTGGTTTTTTGTTTAATGTATTTATTAAAAATGGTCAAAATCTTTGTTTTAAGCTCCTACAACTGTAAACTGAGGGCCATTTTATATACATTTTATTTCACATAATATAAGTAATGTATCATAGGATTCATGTCATTCTCCGCTTTAGAACGAATTATTCAATTAAAAGAGTTTGAGGTGTTGCCTTAAAATACATTCATAGCTGTGCATCCAAACAATTTTTTGTATCATCATCGTTTGGTTTTCTCATTTTATTCGTAGGTAATATTTGTGAATGTGATCTTTACACATCTGAATAAAAGTAATACAAAACATTATGGAAAAAAAATGTCCTTGATATTTTGACATTTAGCAAATGGACAAAGGTTTTCATATTATTAAAACATAAAACAGGAAATAATCACTCTGATTTAATATCAACTGATATAAAAATACTAACTCATAAGTATGTTTTTTTCTGAACTGAGATTAAGCAATAAAACACATTTTCAAAAGCAGAAATAATTGTGCATCTTGTTAGAAATAACATTTTACAAAACTGCACAGGATTATTATTATTTTTTTATTTTATTTTTTTGCAGTTTATGCACACTGTATTTATGAACAGGAACGCTGATTTAAATTCATATTAAATAATTTTTTCTGGCATCTACTTTTCAACATGTTATAGTAAACATTGCAAAATAAAAAGTTATTTTCTGATAACAAGTGTTTAAGAGTCAGTGAAGGTTAAATATTCTTTTATGGACATACTTAAATAAATCAAAGTTATTCTGAGTCAACAGCTTCAGCTGTGATTAAATGAAAGAGTTGTTGAATGGTTCATGCAACAACTTTGATAACCAACATTTTTCACACAGACTGGAAAAATTTTTTGGAAAAAACACAAATACGCAAAATTCTGCAAATTTAAGTGAAAATAAGCCATGACTTCCCCATCAGCCTAGCAGTAAGTTTTTTCTCATTTACTAATTTTTTTGTTATATGAAAATTTTTTCTATTATTTTGGAGAAAATTATCATTTTAAGACTGAAGAGGACAAAGAAAACGAGCAACTTCACAGTCAAAGAGCACAAACAGTTTAATATTTATTGCAGTTGTGACAAAATCATTTACAGCAAATAGTGTAAAAGCACCAACAATAAACTGTTGCTACAGACATGAACCAACGTGACCAGTAAGTAACATCATCACATCAGAATAAAGTCACCAGGATATTCTACAATTTCATCTTCATTATCAATCTGATATCTCTTAGAAAATGATGAAACTGTGAGTGCGATAGCCTAAAAATGCTTTTCTATTTTGTATGAAATAAAAGCATTCATACTGCAAAATTGTTTACTAAAACAGCAATAATTATATTTTAAAAATCTACTGATAGGTCTGTGTATAAAGCTTGAACAGTGCACCAATAAAACTGAAGCCTTTATACCTACAACTGCAGCGTAATACTTAGCATCATGCATAAGCCACTCTGCTGCAGGGAAATCACACAGATTCATTCTTTGACAAAAACTATTATAGATATTGTTGCTTCCTCTATTGTGAATGCACAGCTTGAAAAATACGGACAATCCTGCACCCAGATTTTGGACTCGTGATATAGAAATATACTCCTTCAACTTCTTGCGCTAAAGCAAATAAAATAAAATAAAATGAAAATAAGCATTGTTCAACAAAATAAAAATAAAAAAAAACAACATTTTTACAAAGTGACCTAAAAAAAATACAGAACCTTGAGAAAATGTATTTACAACCCCTAATGAACAAATCTGACAGAAATCTTGAGATTTTATATGATCGACCAGCAAAATGCATGAGATAACAGTGATGATCATAATGTTACAAGATTTTCAACATTTCCTAAAATAAAAATCCTGGAATAATGTCATACTTTTATATTCACCCTCTGGAAACCAATACTTTGTAGAATTCCCTTTTGTTGCAATTAAAAGCCGCTGAATAAGAATATTTTATATAAAAACTTTCTGACTGTTTAAAGAAACTTGGACAATGAAATTTATACCAGAATCCAATTTATTTGGGGGACTTTAATGAAGTTCATTTTTTGGAGTATGTCTATGCAAGTTTTATACTTTCTGAGATCAAAAGTTTCCTTTTCTTATCTAGTTTACAAAGTTTAATGTTCTCTAATATTTTTCTAAGAAACCTCTGAGGCCTTCGCAGAGCAGCTGGATTTTGACTGAGATCTAGTTACTCAAATATTTTCCAATCAAGTGACTTTCCAAGACAGCTGCCTCTACTGGACTTTATTAATTGGCAACAGAGTAAATGGGGGTGAGTGCAAGCACACCATTCTGTAAAAGTTATTCTTTTTCTCCCTTTTCACAATTATGTACTGCTATGTGTTGATCAATCTAAAAACAATATAAATGGACTTAATTTTTAGACTGCAAATTGACAGAAGTGGAAAAAGTAAAAGGGGTATAAATATGTTTTCTTCGCACTGTTTCTCAGGCTATTATATATCAAAACTGCACAAGAAAACAAAACAAGTGTCTCACGCCAAAATATTCAAGCTTGTCAGATCATTAAAACCACAGAGGAGAGAGAGAATCCAGAGTCCCGATGACTCAGAATCAGACGGGCGCGAAAGGAGAAAACTTTTCAATCAGTGGTGAATCTTTACAGTTCGACCGATGAGCAGGAACAGAAGCCCCGCCAAGAGGGAGAAGAAGATCCCGATGGGGGCAAACACAAAGGACAGGCCGTAGCTGAGGTTCAGTGTGAAGTCTGGACAATGGGAAGCTCGCTGTTCGTTGATGAAGGTTTGGACCACATCCAGGACCTGAAGCCACACCACATGCATCACCACAGCGCACAGCATGAACAAACCTGCAGAGAGGAGTTACAGAGTGAGCCTGGGATGATTTCAAGCACCAAAATTCCCTCACTGTAATTCATATTCAGCATCCGCACAATCATTCATTTTCTCAGATAACACACAGGTAGTTCAATCTTTTTGAACATTTCATTCCCCGTCAGCTAGCTATAATTACTTTAAATTAGATCTCTGATTGGCTAATCGGTCCCTCATGGCAGCTCCTGTTCAAGAAGTAAAGGGTGTTAAAGGGCAGCTGTGTGTTTGGAGACACAAAGAGAACAGAACTTAATGAACTTTCATCCATAAAATAACCCGACTCAGTCACAATGTGGTGCAATAATCTTATCTTTTTGTTTCCAAAACTTTAGGTTTCTGTTGTTTTTTTTCTTTCCCCTTTATAATCTCTCATTTTAAACTAAAGTAGATCATAAGTGTCTGAATTAATCCGTTATGATAACTAACATAATTGCATCTTAGATTCAAACAAATTCTTGATTTTCATCTCAGCTTTAATTCACAGAAAGTAGTACTAGTCCTTTAACTTTCCCCCCAAACAGTGAGCTGTAGAAGAATTGTTTGTCTCGGAAATTAGTAGTTTATCTCCAACTTGACTCTGGATTGTTGGGTCATGTTCGTCTTGATTTTTTTCTTTATAATATTTAGAAAACTGTAGATTTTTCCAGTTGATGCTTTCAATATAAAAATAAGACATCCCCTCTTCCATGCAATTGTTCGCTCTCACGAGATGAGAAACTCACAATTTAGATGAATAAAATACTTATTTGGTTTTTAATAACCCATAAGAGCTACTGGGTTATGAACATCAGTACCTTTCAAAGAGGTTGAAATTCACTCTGGGGGGTCAGTACATTAATGCTCAGTAAAACATGTGCTTCGTTACTCACAACCCTGGATTAAACTCACCAGATGTCAGGAACAGGCCGCCTCCTGCTTTGTACAAACAGTGGTTCGCAAACGGAGCCGCACAGATGATGAGGAACCCTCCGAGAGTTACCGCTGCCACACTAATGAGCATGAAGACCCTCCAGAAGCCTCCATAGACTGCAGAGAAAGGAGATATTAGTCTGCTGCAGAGAAATGCTGTATCATAATTTGCATGAATGATACTCACTGATAGCTGTATTGTCTGTCGTTGCATTGTTGGTAGGACCTGACGCTGGGAAAGGGGACAGGTAGCCAGGGACGCAGACTTTTAAGGAAGACTTGTCAACTTCAGAAAAGAGACATGCACATATTTTAACACCGGCTACAGAAATTAAAGTCAGAACTCATTAGTTTGCAACCTACAGTATGATTTTATATCTTCTCATTACTCAAGTAAATCCTCATAAGGGCCCTTTTTATTTCTGCAGGCCACGTCACCATGGTGGCTCTTAAAAAAAAAAAAAGGATGACACATAACCAGCTGACAGGCGACATGAAAAACATCACATGGTGCCGCCTCGTTCATCCAGTCACATGAGAGTTTGGGACGTTTCTCTCAATTATAATAGAGAAACAAACTCTGCTCCTCCTGTATGAGCAGCTTATTTCACTTTTATTCATGTTTTAACTTTATTTAGGCATCCTCAAAAGATTAGCAGCACAAAAACCAAACTGTTCTTTGCTTCTGATCTGGCATTAAGTTTCAGAAGAAATAAAACTATCAGTTTTCTGGAGAGTTAATTTATTCTACACCATTCGCACAAATCCAACGTTTTTCTGTGGTTATAGATTATGAACAACTAAAGCGTCATAGAAGCTTCTGTCTTTCTGGTGTTATCAGTCTCAAATGTAAGCCATTCCGCTAAACGAATAAATATTGTGACAAAATGAAAAAAATAAAGTCAGTTTAAGCAATAAAATGATGTTCACTCACAGAGCGGGTTTGTCAACGTCTCGTTGAGAAATTCAACCGGAATATTTCCAAGGAAGCAAGTCCAGAAGAAACCGTAGTGAAATGATTTGGTCTTGCCGCTTTGGTCGTGCACCACATCAACGGCTAGCTGAAATAAGATTCACAAAACAAGTGTGATGAACACTGAGTATGTTCAGCTTTTATTAAGATACATGATATTGTCTTTGATAAAAATATTCAAATATCTTAAAGTACAGTGCAATCACACTGAGTTTCATTTAGAGCGATCAGGATAAGGGAGCTGAATATCAATGCATGCCACACTTTTACTATGTTTCTAATGCAACAAATGTTAAAAATCATGTATTATTTTGTTTCTGCTTCAAAATTAAGTACCACTTTGCTTTACTCTGTCACATGAAATCCCAATAAAATACACAGTTTTGAGTTATAAAACAATGTTTTGGTGAAAATGTTCAGTGAGTTTGGCAAAGCACCTTAAGAGGCCTGCTAGGTGTGGCGCGTTCTCAAACTTATGAGATACAGTTGCAGCATCTGCTGCCACTTTGTCTGTGCAGCTGCTAAAGAAGGTCAAAGGTTGAGCTGAGCCAGGCCCATTAACCTCTGGCTGCTCCTCTTTGGAGCCAACTGAGATTGCAGACTCTTCATTCACCAGATATAGGTGATGGAAATAGGGAAGATGTATTTTCTCTTTTTTTTTTTTTACAAATGAAAAAAAACATTACATTTCTTATTAAGAAATTCTTGTGTCCCCTACACAGCTTGACTTCTAGTGGCTTCTTTCAGCAATGGCTTTACTCATCCTTCTTCCACACAGGCTGGAGTTGTGCAGCGTTCAATTAAAAGTTGTCTTCTCGAACAATTCTATAACCTGAGCTGAAGATCTCTGCAGTTTATTTATTTATTTTGATAAAACAGTATTTTCGTTCAAGGAGCTGTCTCAGTGATTAATGCTCTTTTTGACTTCTGAAATCAACTGATTAGACTCGATGTTAAAGAGAGCTGAACACAAATGCATGCCACACCTTTTAAAGATTTTATCAACATAAAAATCTTTAAAATGTCGTACAATTACACAAAAACATTTGTTTCTTTTTCATCTCACAACTACTTTTATCGCATAAAATCCTAACTTAGAAACCTCTCGGTACATCAGATCATCGACCTGAAGCTTCTTAAGGAGCCACGCTTGTAATACATCTCAGTGCAGCGCGTACACCCAGCACCACACTGGTTTTATGGCCCTGCTGTCCAGTGTCGGTGTCAGTACAAGTCCACTCTGGAAGCTGGAAAGCCAAGTATGCTCTACTCGGTGATATATAATACACCATCATGCCTTTGTGACTACAGGGACTTGTATTTCTATCTTGGAGGCACAAGGTACAAGCTCTTTCTCAATCACTGCATAGCTGCACACACATTACATTAAACAGAGTCGAATTACAGGGATCCCTCTCCACTCTGCAGTCCAGCTGCTGAGAAAATAATCGGAGCAGCTGATCTTCGAATCCTGTTGAATGTCAGCAACTAAATGAGTTGATGCCTGGGGATAATGTTATACAGTAACAAACACAACACGAAGAGCTTGCAGTCTAGAGTCTTATTCTAGTTCCATTAACTAGTCCAAACTTGTAGTGAATACAGCTGTTCTCATATTCTCCCTGACCTGCAGCCTTTTAGAGACCAGTACTCACCGTCAGTGTCAGACTGTCTTTAGAGTCCTTATCTTCTGGGACGCAGGTTGACGAGGCTAAAAGCCAGTAATCAGTTCCAAAAGAAAGGAAGATAAATGCTGCTCCCAAAGCAGCAAAGACCCCAGCAAAACATAAAGCCACGCTAAGTTTCATATTCCAAAATCGGCCTCCAGATTCACACACTTGGTTTTCTTTAATAGAGATTTAAATCCTCTTATTTGGTGGGTTGCTAGCCTATTCAGTTGTGTATCATTGGATCTTCAGTCCTCCTCTCTATCTGTTTCTGTGTTATGGGAGGATAAAGTTGTCCACATGATTCATTTGGATCCTCCGCTGGGGTCTGAAGCCAGCCCAGTCCCCTCCCTGCCACTGGGCTATTTTTGATGTCTGATTGAAGGTGGCTGCTCTTCTCCGCTGTGGAGCTGAATGCATGGAGCATTTGGAGAGCGTGAGGGGAGGGGGATTAGCGCAGAAATAGCTAGGCAACTGGACACCCAGAATCTGAGAGGGAATGTCAGAGTGGGGTGAGACAGAAATGGCAGCAAAGGAGAGAATAATCCAACAACATCAACCTCTTCTCTCCTACGAGACAACAAAGTGATGATGCCCCAGGGGTGATGAGTTTTAAAACTACAAGCCAGACTTTTCTGCAAAAAGTCTGGCAGAAAAGTCTTCCACAATCTTCCTCTCCGAAGTGAGTGTGCAACTCACTTCAGAGATTTGATTTATTCTGAAGAGAGTTTTCACATACAGAACAACATATCAATAACATTTTCCATTAGCTATGCAGTATTTGCATTAAATAATTCGTCAGAACAAAATCTACAACCTCGTCTATCAACATCGTATGAGGCTCCTGATCAGAGTTTTATGTTTTTCTTGTTTTTAATCAAATTTCTTCTTCAAGTTTGTTTGTTTGTATTATGATCAAGCAGTTTGAGTTTTATGTGAGAATAAAGAAATGATTATAAAACGCATGGAGGAGTTTTGTTTGGATGACCAAAACAGGCAGAAATTCTTTAACATAACATTTCATTGTCAAACACGATCGGCTGCCATTACAAGCCATCATAAATGCTGCAAGGGACTCAAATAAAATCATACTCATGTCCCAATAATTTTTTCTTGAAGAATTGCTAGTTTATAGTCCAAACTAGCAATTCTGGCCTCACTAACACAAGAATCTTCCAATGATCTTCTGCAGGCAGTAGTCCTTACAAATCATACGAGTATTTAATGTCAGTGTCATTTTTATTTATAAAGCATTTTAAACACAGCCATCAACGTGCTGTACAGCATTCATAAAAGTATTCAAGAAGGTAAAAGCTCAATTTGTCATTTATTAATTTTACAAGTGATGAACCTGCACAGAAATGACAGAACAATTTTTGACACTAATATAAATATATTTATACCATGTAAAGCTCTGAAGACAATCATTGTCATTACTATTCTTTGACAGTGTTTGGCAGCTCTAAGGACTCATCATGGTCAAACTCTGGCTCTAGTACAAAACCCTAACAGACACAAAGCAGAATTTGAAGAGACTGTCTTTATTTTTGTGACTTGCGGTTTCCCTCCATTTTTTGTATGTTTATTTTCATTCATTTGTATATATTTGCATATATATATACATATGTGTGTGCACACAGCATGAACATCTTGTCTCATTCTGATTTTTCAATTTTTGTAATAGCTCAGTTTGGTTAAGTGGCAAATTTGAACTTTAATAAAATGCAGAAATTGTGTTTACCTGATAAACAAAAACATAATTATTCACATTCATTATCATTTCTCTTTCTCTCTCCCTCTCTCTCTCTCTGTCTCTCTCTCTCTCTCGTTCTCTCTCTCTCTCTCTTGTTCTCTATCTCTCTCTTTCTGTCTCTCTATTCCTGCTACCAAATAAGAATAGAGGCCCTGTCAAATGTTTTAAAGAAAAGTTTAATTTTGTTTCTTGTTCTTCTTATTTAATGTTGTATCATTTATTAATATCTTACCTTGCTTATTTTATCTCACCTTGTTACAATTTTAGCTCCATATGGTGTATATACAGAATTACAATAATTCTATTTTTAAAAGAGCAGCAGTAAACCTGGTTACCCACCAGGGGGCAGAAGAAACAGTTTCTGATAATAAGAATGTTATTAACCAAAATTACACGAAACTAAATAAATGTACCTTGTATCTGGCATCAAAAAAAGATAAATGTTCTTGTTTTTGTGCATTTGGGGAATTAGGGGTTTTGATTTTATTTTGAGGAAAAAAAATCCTGCACAGATTTCAAATTTTCCCTCAATGACAATAATTGTATTTTTTTTTTTTGTTTTGGTTTTATTTCAGTTTTCTTTTGACATAAATAATGAATTCCACCAATTCTTAAAGTTCCGCATGATACATACTTTAGAAACTTTTTCTGGATGCATATTGTACTGTATTTATTTGTTTCTTTTTAATGACTTTTTAAAAATACAATTTTAGTTCAATGTGTATTTTACGATATAGTTCTTAACTTCCATGTGATGCATTCTTGAGAAATTCGTTGTTAAGAAATGGAGACTTTTTCGTTTATTTATCTACTTATTTTTATTTTATTTATTTATTTATTTCCCTTCTTTCAGCATATTTCATTTTTCTTGCATGTTTTCAAGGTTTATGTGATGGGTACTTGAGAAATTGTTAAAGACATTAATTTACTTTTTAAAATATGCTTGGTTTCATTATTTTAATGTCAATTTTATAGTCAATTTTAATGTATGTTTAGGGATTGTTGGATATTTATTTTGTTATTTCTAATTTGCTTGGTTTTATTATATAACTTTAAATTGTGTTGTTTACATTTTTGGTCCAGATGCTATGTTTTTTATTGTATTTTATTTTATACTGTGTTGCATGTTTGTAGTTGTTTTTTTTATATAAAGTAGCAGTGCTCGAGATGATCCACTAGGTGGCAGGAAGTAAACACAATTTGTTAATCCAAAGGTCGTTGAAGAAAACAAAAGGAAGGACCTCGAAAAAGATAATCGATATCCCTTTTTATTAAACGTCAGAATTATAGGCAGAGCTTTTTATAACTCTAAATAAATTAAAATAAAATTATTGTAATTTCTTTGTTACTAGCAATTACAGCTAGTAACGAAAATAAAATATCAATTCTTTTTTTGTCCACCTCTGTGACGTACATGGATGATACCATCTGCTCCACAGTCACAGGGGAATATTCACGTCAAAAATTACTCATAAGAATAAAACAAATCGCCTTTAACCTCTGCGGTAAGAGTTACACACTTATCTTACTGTTTAAAATGTTTCTTTTAACCCAGTAGCTTCAGCTCGATCCAAGATGTCTGCCCCACTCCGGCGGCTCTTCTCCGTCTCCCCCGTCGCGGCCGCCGCAGCGACCCGCCGGCTCTCAGACCGGCGCCGCGTTCGCTTACAGTAGAGCCTGATGGGAGCTTCCGCTTCGGCTGTGGGCGAGCTGTCACCGCGGGAGGATGAACAACCAGAGATGTAGCACTTTATTCCTGAAACTGGAAGGACGGAGGGCGATCATACACTGTATCTATGTGGTGGGCTTTATGGTGAGTCGGGGGACTGCGGATCTTTATCTAAGTGGGTGAGACGTGAAATCAATGACACTGATAGTCCAGGCTTTCACAACTCAGGTGTGATGTCAAGGTACAGATTAGAACCGGTTCAGTCTTTCTATTAGAGTAAAACCCAGTGACAGAAAATAATAATGATTATCATTGCTGTCACTGGTTGACCAGTCCTGTGGTAATGTGCTAATCATTGAGAAGTCTGAGACTGTCAAGTTGTTTTAACACCTCTGTTTGTTTTCAACAAGCTGCTGCAGAAACACTGATTTATTCCTTGAAGCTTTTGAAATAAAGGAGGTTTTGGGTCACCCCCTCGGATTCTTCCAAATTAAAACCCTTCTGACTTTCAATCATCTAATTAAAGGTGACTAACAGGATTCGGGAAACTGACTTGAAAACTAACAGGGGGGGATAAATGTTACCTAAGCTTTAAAAGAATGTCATTATTGGATTGTGTTAGAACGCTGTATGAGCAGCTGTGTGCCTCCAATTAAGCATCTGGCAAAAGCTGCTTCAAACTCAGCAATGCAGAAAAACAGGATGTTGCTGCTGATTGAGCGTCTGACTTGTGCTCTGTCAGCATGCACTGAATACTGCAACACTGGCTGTAGATTATCTGCATATTTCACCTGTTTCTAACCTGCTGCGACTCCTCCCTCCTGCAGAGAGTGAAGCTGCTGTCAGACACACCCATGTCCTCCATCAATCAGTATGAAACCAAAACTGGTAGCCATTCTTTTGAAGCTTGTGTGTCCACAAAGACAAATATATGTAATTCAGACGAATATTTGCAGAAGAGTATATCCGTAAAAGATCTGATGAATCAGTTGTTGCTGTATAATATTTTCTTCGTTGATTTTGGTGTGACTGGTTAACCTGAGAAACACAAATTTCAACTGGAAGCAACACAAAGAACGAAATCTGGGAGGATATAATAATTAACATAACTTTATCATTTTGCTTTTTATCTACTGTTTTCTTACCTGTATATTTACTTTTTTCAATTATTATTATTTTAATTATTATTCTATATTTGCAGTTGAAGGACTTTATTTTTACTACTAGTAGTTATTTAATGTTTTTATATGATTGTTTTCATGACTAACATATTAATTATATTTATATTTGGTTTATATACTGTACGTGTGATAATTGTGAATCCATATGTTTCTGTTGGTTATGTGTTTTATTTTAGGTAATATTTTTTATGTTGAAGCTGTTTTAATGCAGAGTTGATTTTTTAAAATTTATTTACAAATCTTCTACAAAGTGTGCATACAGACATATTCAATTAACTACAATATGTGCTCAGAATTAAAACTACATTTTGAAAATAATCTTTTAGAAGATATCAAATATACTTTACACCTACATTTCTCTATGAAAATGTATTTTTATTTAGCTGATGTAATATTCTAATCATAAATGTCACATTTTCATGAACTGTGAGTGAGTAATTATCAACATTAACATCAAAAAATGCTTTAAAATGTATCAATTTATGTGATTTATATATGTAATGTTTCACTTAGTGAGTCGAGTTAATGAAATAAACTCACCTTTCAATAATATTTAATTTATTGAACATTACTGTATTTACTTCCACGCTTACACTTAGTAAGTTATCTGTAAAATAATAATAATAATAATAATAATAAAATAATATGCTGTTATTTTTTAGGTTTTGTTTTCCTTTATTGTTTGTTTATTTTCTTATTTTTTGTTGTCCTGTCCCAAAATGATCGAATCATTTTTGTGATCTTCTCTTTTTTTCTGCAGGACTTGTTTGGGGTGAGCATGATCATCCCGCTCTTGAGCCACCATGTAAAGGCTCTTGGAGCGAGTCCCACAGTGGCTGGAATCGTGGGTGAGTTGTGTTTTCATAGTAGTTAGTAACATGTTACATTTCTGTCTGACGGCTATAAAAAGACAAATAAAAGATTTTAATTTTGCCCTCTTTCTGATGCCCTTCAAAAATAACAATCAGAAAATATTATGACATATAAAACCACCTAGATATGATAAACTCACAAGTCAGGTAAAAGAGCATTACTCAGCCAAACAGCCAAGAATTAGTTGTTCACTTCCCACATGTGCAGCACAACAGGAACAAAATCATAAGAAGTCCTGTTTAAACATTTTTGAAAAGCCAAGCAGCTTGAGGAAGATGTTCTTATCAGACGAATGTAACATTTTAACTTGTTGTCCTTCACTTAAATTTCAATTTGTGGTAGAAAACTAATGTAGCAAATCATACTAAACTCTCCATCCCCAGTTAAGAGCTTTATGTTTTGTAGAGTAATAAATTTTTGCAAATCAGGAAAGGTTTTCAGCATTAATAGGAAAATGGACTGAGAACAATATTTAAAAGAAAAGCGATAAATAAAAAAAAGAAAAAGACTTTTTATGTGAGGCGATAACATCCTAATAAAAGACATTGTTGTTTGTGGAAATGTTTCTGAAATTTGAAGGGTTATCAATACATGTGCAATAAATTGTACCATTGTGAGAAAATCACAAAATGTTATAATTTGTTATTATGGATTGCAGGATCTACATATGGAATATTGCAGCTTTTCTCCAGCACAATAGTTGTGAGTATTGACTTTGTTTCTCTGTTCAACCTCCTTTTCTGTAGGGTTTCCTGGTAAACAAGATGAGCCCACTTTAGTGGCCAAAATGGCTGAATTCCTGGTAATTTGTGGAAACAAAAAAATAAAAAAAACACTGGCTGTTCAAGATTGATTGTGATCGCACAATGGGATCATTGTGAAGACTTTAACGTGCATAACAGGCTCTTGGTCAGGCACAAAATCCTTCTTTTAATACAGAAATCATTTCTAATCGTCTCCACCCTTCAGACAGCAACTTAAGAAATAAACAAAATCATGAAGATGCATGATTAAAGAGACATAAAAATTAAGAAAAAAGTACGAAGTAAGTTTGGCATCTGCAGCTGAATGCTTAACTCCTTCTGCTGCTGCACACGGCTCCAGAAATTGGTTTAATTTTCAGGGGTCATGGGACAAATTAAGCACATAAAGAGTCATCTGTTGGTGCCCTCATGCAGGCGGGCAGGATCCCCGTGAATGCTGGGACAATATGAACAGCTGCAACCCGAAAGTTTACATCCAGAGCACAGATCATCTCAATTGTCCCTAATTTTATTTTTTCATCGTTGCTGTGGGTCTGTGTGAGAAAGAGCGGGCGAGAATCTAATTAAACCACAGCTGCTTGGCGCACCGAGGATGAGGAGTTTTATTTGCGCCTCTTGTTTCTGAGTTGTGAGGTTTGTTATTACACGACTGCCCTGGCTTCAGAACAAAGTTAAAAACGTTTCTTTTCTGTGCAGCTTGTTAGGAAATATGCTTTTCCTTTGTCTAACTCTGTCATTGATCGCTTCACGATACTCGTATCGCCGAAGCGTATGTCGATGTGTCATTGAATGGATCGGCGTGTGATTGGCAGGGCAGCTGGAGCGACGTGGTGGGGCGGCGATACTCGCTGCTGACTTCCATCCTGCTGAGCGCCTGCGGTTACGGCCTGCTGGGGATTTCTACAAGCATCACTTTATTTGTCCTCGCACGAATACCTGTGGGTGAGTTTAGGGGGGCAAACGGCCCCAAATGACCTCCTGCTCCAAAGACTCTGGTGGATAAAACGTCTGATTTAAGCTGTACATCCTCCAAACACATCAGAGCCACCTTTCTGTGTTCCCTGTTGTGCTTTGAAAATAACTCAAGCTCAGTCATGCTGGATTGAATCTGTGAAAAAAATTTTTCCCACAGGTTCTCCAGTCTATTTAGGTGTTGACTTTAACTAGGCCATTCTAATACATGGCTTTGATTTAAGCCAAGTGTCTTAAATCAAAGAGGCATTTTCTAGCAAAATAGAACTTGTTAATAGCCACAAATCTTAAACAAACTGTTCATTTTTCAGCTGCAATGTGAAATTTTAATTTGATCTCAATCCTGTTGAGTGTAGCTGATTTTCTTGCAGAATTCAGCAGGAATATTTTCTCTATATTCCTGCTGAAGAAAATCATCCCTTCGACATGATGCTGCCACCATCTTTCACCCCCTGGATGGTGTGTTCAGTGTTGCGGACTCAATTCACTAATTGGACAACATCCAGTTGCACTTCACAAATGAAGAATGACGCAAACACACGTCCCACGTTTCAGATTTTCATTGATTAAAGTCTGCACTTGCTATCTAATTATGCACTACTTTGTTTCACATATTAAACATCAATGTGTCAAAAATTTACCAACAGTAGTGTGTGTGTGTGTGTATTTGTTTTTTCAGGACTGTTCAAACACTCCTTGTCCATCTGCAGAGCTTTACTGTCAGACCTGGTGTCTGAATCAGAGCGCCCTCTTGTGATGGGACACTTTAATGCAGCCTCCAGCGTCGGCTTCATCCTGGGTCCTGTAGTCGGCGGCTACCTCACTGAGCACGAAGGAGGCTTTTACACCTCCTCATTTACATGTGCAGCCATCTTTCTTATCAATGCTGGTGAGCTTAAAGCGTTAAATAATCTAATATCACAAAATCTCTTTCTTGAGACTGTTTTTATTATTTTATTTCATTTTATTCTGTCTTTGTTTTTCAACTGACTTCAACAATTTATATATATGAACGTTCACCTTCTTCTGGTCTATTCTGCCGCATCTTTTGATAATTTCATTTTTCATACCTTATGTGATATTTCAACATTTATCCAGATTTTGGCTCCATAGAAACGGATTTTAAAACATCGGAGGTCCACAAAACTCAGCAAAAACTTTGTGCTCCATATTAGTCTGTTATTTTTGCATACTTCAACATAGAAACTCTATTCAACTTTTAGATAAATCACAAGATGTCAGGCTGTTTTCAACTGATTCAGCTTCTTGATATCTCTTTCGGTTTTTCTAAAATCAGGATTTAAGTCTTATGCAGATTTTTGTGCATTTTCACTTTTTCAATGTGTTTCAATGATGCGATTCTTCCACTGGCGCAGTGTGCCTGACGCTTTTTCAAGTATCACCAACTAAATGCTGCTGTTCATACATTTTTAACCTTACAGAAACTATTAATGCTTCAAAAGATAGACCCAGGGTTTCCTGTTTTGAGAAAATATAAGCATCATTGCTGGTTTTCTTTCAAACACTTCCTGAGTGCCGGCATTTCTCCCCTTCCTCCATTAGGCTCCTCCATATTTTCAGCTCCGTCTCTTTCTTCAACAACTTCTTTCAGCAGTTTTTCTATTTGCTGTCTAATGCCGTCTTCGTGCTTTAGGGCTGGTGTGGTTGCTGCCATGGAGCGAGACGATAACCAATCGAAACGCAACTAACTGCAGCAACAGCGCCAGTAAAAGATGCCACGATGAACATTGCGGCAAGTCTGTGCAAAACGGCTCTCACGCAAACAACCATCACTCGGCGTTACCATCAGAGACCGAAGCGGAGCGCAGAGCTGCCAGGAAGCTCGGCTTCAGGTGGAGGGAGGTGTCGCTGCTCCAGCCCGCGTGGAGACAGCTCACCTCCGTCAGCTCCAGGATTCACATGGTGGCCTCTTCTGACATGTGGGACCTCTTTCTGGTGCGTCTCTTGATGGCTGTAGCCATCATGCTGTACTACAGTAACTTCTCTCTGGCCATGGAGGAGCGTTTCTCGATGAAACCGAAGATGACGGGTTATCTGATCAGCTACAGCAGCACCTTAGGGGCCCTGGCCGGGTTCCTGGTGGGGCCGGTCACACAGCTCTACAGAAACAACATGCCCGCTCTGCTGCTTCACTCCACCATGCTCACCTGTCTGCTCATTTTCCTCTACGCCGCCGCTCCGAGTGTGTGGCAGGTGCTGCTCACCTCCACCTTCTTTGCCATTTCTACCTCTGTCGGTCGGACGTGCATCACAGACCTGGAGCTTCAAAGGGGAGGCGTCCACGCCAGCGGGACTCTGATCGGGGCTGGCCAGTCGGTGACGGCGGTGGGTCGCATCCTGGCCCCGCTCCTCTCCGGTCTGACCCAGGAGATCAGCCCCTGCGGGCCGGCCAGTCTGGGGGTCGTGCTCGCTCTGGCAGCTGTGGGTTTGCTCCTCGTCAGAATCCCAAAGTGGGACGGGAGGGCGCTGGCAAAAACGGTAAAACTTTAAAAACGTTTCTGAGCTGAGTGACGATCTTTTATTGAGTCTGTGCAGATCTACCACTTTTAGAAGTGCTCTTATTTGCAGCAGGCAGCTGTGGTGAACAGCAGATCCTCAGAGTGAACAGAGTTTCTCACCATGGGTGCCTTCGCCAAACGAATCTGCTGATGTCACGACTCGACACAGGGACCGCAGGCCTTTCTCTCAGGGACCGTGGACGTTTGCAGCTTGAAGGAAAAGGCTGCAGTTTCTTGTGCTTCCATAAATCCTGAAGTCAGATCTCACAGAAACATGCAGCCTTAACTTTGGCTCGGTGTCCTTGTTATTGCAATAATCGATGCTGCGTTGCTAATTTAGTTCTGTCAGCAGAGGTACACCCACTACTGATTTATGAAGACACAAGACCACTTAAATTGTCATTTTTGGAGATTCGATGGTTATAACTTTGCGACCAATACTCTTTCTGCAACTGTTGGAAAGGTTCGCAAGGATTTTATCCAATTCTAATTTCTCTTTCCAAGCCATTTGTGTGCATTCAAAATGTTTTTGCTGTAACCAGTCATTAAATATTTATATTAGAAATGTTCAGTTGTAATAAAAAGAAGGGGGGGGACTATCTCAGAAAAAACTCTAAATAATGTCGCCATTTACATTTCAATTCTGTTCAAACTTCCCGTTACCTACTTTACTCCATTACAATCTGACTTTTTTTACTGTTATATTTCCATTATACACATTTTTGTGTGTGTGTGGGGAGGTGGGTCCTGAAAAGCAGATGCTAACATATATAAAAATGTTTCATTTAAATATAGGCTATGTAGTTAATCTTAAATTTAGACATATTTATAATTATTAACATGAACCATAGTAGTAGGTAAGCTATTTCAGGAATTTAAATTATTTTATTAATGCTGCTATTGCTAAACAGAACTTTGAAAAAAAATAATTAAAGCATGAGTTTCATTGTGGCTTTTTATATGCATGTAGTGCAGAAGCACCTTAATACTGCAAAATCACAACCGGTGTGTCTTGCACACTGTTGCCACTAGATGGCAGGAATGTTCTAAAATGATCCAAGGACAGATTTTTACATCCACACAGACAAGTCTTGGCATTAGGACCAGAAGCAGTTCAAGGCAAAGTCTCAACGCCAAAAAGGTTTAAGTCTTGCTCTCTCTCACTGACTCGAAGCCTGAACGATCTGCAGGCATGTTTGGAAATGTAAAAGTTTCTTTGATGTAACTCCTTATATCCAAGCCAGTTGATCTCCTATCAGCAGCAGATTTCTTGACGCATCTTCGCTATTAATTATTTAAGAGCAAGACTTATTGTAACTGAGGAAATGTTGAGAAAAGGTCATAAAGTATCAGAATGTAAAAATAATCTACCAAAGCAGATTGTGGTTTCATCTATACGACACATCTAGAACCGTCAATTGTATTTCCTCCTTTTCATTTATCCTTATGAAATAGCTTTCATGTAGCAAAATTGCACTATGCCCGCGTGTCATTAATTGATTTCTTTTAACTTTTTTTGTGTGCTTCTTTTAGTTTTATTTGCAGTTTTTGATTTTTCCTAAACAGTTTGAGATTTTCAGTGCCTAAAGTCCCATTGAGCCCATTTTCTGAAAGAAATGCAGCGTGAGTTCATCTTTTTGATGTAATTTGATGCAGCTCTAATCTATGTGGGCCTCCTATGGCTGGATGGGAACTGAGCTTGCAATAGGCACTTGAATTTACTAAACATAACTAATAGCAGCAAAACTGCTGTTCTACTACTACTAGTTTCTGAACATTTAAAACACATCTACTCCCACAAGACTCACAGCTTTGATTTTTAAATATTTTGCACGTCAACGTTTGTTCAGAGACTTTGTTCTTTTAAATGTGAAACTTCTGCATTTTTATAGTTTAATCAGTTTTTGCGTTCTTCACTTGTCTCCCATGTGTTATATAGAAGTTTGTGTTTATCAAGGTTCATCACTGCTGTTGGTTGGACTACTGTTTTAACATTTGCAGTGCCTTTATAAAAGTGTTTGTATGATGCATCGAGAAAAAACGTGCATGATTGTGAAATGGAAAGAAAATGATAAACGGTCTTCGAAATAATTGCAAATAAAAAACTGAGAAGTCTGAAACATTTTTTTGTGACAAAACTCTTTTGTTTCAGATACAGCTGCAGGCTTTTGAAGAACGTTTATGCTCTGATTTGCAGAGATGCTGAAGTTCAGTCAGACTGGATGGAGACCATCTCTATATTTCAGTCTTTAATACTTACCAGATGTAACTGCAAAAAGAGATTTTTATTTGAGGGTGGGAGAATAAAGTCTTAACACCCATGAATGAATCTTCCTCCATCATAATTATGAACAAAAATAAATAATAAAATGCACAGAATGTTTAGTTATAACAAAATGTAAAAATATGAAAACATTTCCCATCTACAGTTTGACATTTTTAAATTGAAGAATGAATTAAACATTTAAATGTTAAATCAGAATTTTGTTCTTTGGGGTGTTTTTTTTTTTTTTTGCAAAAATTGTAAGAACCTACATATCCAAATTGTCCAAACATTTATGTCATAATCTTTTTTTTTTTTGTTTGTTTTTGAGACTAAAATTGCACAAAACAATAATTAAATAATATAATCTTAAATTTCCCCATTGTACTCCCTTTATTTATTTCTTTTCCAGTTATTTCTCCCTTTAATCCAAGTAAATTAGTTCCTCTGATTCAGCTTTTAAGTTGTGATTGTCTTCAGTCAACCACATGTTATGCTTAGGGACACGTTATGCAATACTTGGCAATTTCATGCAACATTGAATTTAAAGATAAAGTGGACCAGTTGGTGACGACACTTTAACTACATTAAGGTATCAATTAAATGAAGCTTCCTTAGCTTGAAAACATGGAATAAAATAAAAGTCATAGTATTTATATTGTAATTCCCTAATCATTTTTATTTGACAGCTAAGAACAATATAAAAATGAATAATAAAAATTGAAATGGCAACACACTGAGACGTTGCTGTCATTCAGCAACATTGAAATAGTTCCTTCTCCGTCGTGCGCTGTGTCTCTGATGTGCATTGCACCTCTTTTCTACGAGCCGCTCCTCTGAGCTGGGGCTTCATTCAGAAAAAATGGGGGGAAAAAAAGACCAAGTGTAAATTTGCCTTCATCTTTGAGGGTAAAAATCAGGACACTGTTCTATTTGATGCAGTCATTTAATTTAATTTTTTGGGTTCCACTGCGGCCGTCTGAGCAGAGGGTTTCGAGGCATGTCGTCTCCGGGTTCAGCTGCCCAGCTGGGAGGAGGCCTCAAAGCCTCGCGATGCTGCCGCCGCCGCTCCTGCTCCTCTTCGGCCTCATCCTCATTTCTTAAGTCATCTGCAGGGCTGTTGTTATTGTCGACAGGAGGGTCGAAGTGGCGACGATGTGTTGGGGAGCGGGAATCCCTGTAGGAGGAGCCAGTCCGGGGTTTGCCGTGGTCTTTGCTGAAGCTCCCGCTCTGGCTTTCATTGAGGACGTCAGTGGAGGGAACTTCCTTCAGAGTTCCCAGCCTGTGAAGAGGCATCATGGCTCCGGACGAGGAGCGTTTGGGCTGGTTGAATCGAGAGCGCCGGGTAGGATAGGCCACCTCTGACATGGTTTCATGGTCATCTGAGAATAAAAGGACGGGAAACATGAAGGAAAAGTTATAAAGCAGCAATTAAAAGAACAGACATTTGTGCCTTCTCCAACATTTTCCTTCCACTTCACAGGCATCTTCTCTTCTCTCTGGTCATATTTTAATACGGTGATATTTACTATTATAACATGTTGTGAGAAGAGCTATTAAATGGGTCTCGACACTTTTGTCCAAAACATTTGGTGTCTAATGAAAAAGGACATTTGGCATGGAAAATAGAGATCATTTCTAAAATGAATTGGTTGCACTGGATTTTGTTTATGGTCTTCAAAGTAAAATGGGAAATAAAACTAATTAACATGAGCATTTTTGTATTTTATTTAGCTGAAACTGTTTGTTGTTTTTCTTCCAGTTTACAGTTTTTCAGTTTCAGATCACATAAAATACATCGATTTTTGTTGTGACATCAGAAAATGTGAGAAAGGTTGTGACTGTCTGACTCAATACTTTTGCCTAATTAATTTCCTACCTCATGAAAAAAAAACTTGGTTTGTAAGTTTAGTTTTAGAAGCTTACCTGCATAACTCTGCCTCACAGATGGATATTTTGACCCCAAACTCTGCCCAGAGGGAAGTGAGAAATATTTCTGAGACTTTGGAATCTGAGAATAAAAATACAAAACATGTACAAAAATTAACCTGCATGACCTTTACTGATCTACATCATGTTTAGGAATTTGTGTTCAGATGCCTGGGATTATCTGCTTTTACAGACGTAAACATCAGCAAACCACAAAAAAAACTCTTTTGATTGAAAAGGATCTTGACAATTATTTAGTTTCAACATAGCTGTTACCATATAAAATATTTAATTCTCAAATGTACTCATGAATTCCCCAATTCATTTAACAGAGTCAATGAAATACACATCCACAAAACCCATTTCTGCAAGTGTTGAAATTAGAACCTTGTTAAATGATGACGGGTTTTAAGCTTTAGCCACATGATAATAAATAAGTAAACAAATAAATGCAATGACTTTGGCAAATTTTCTAATTTCACTATATTAACATTTAATTGCACCAAATTAAGTTAAGACTGCATTTTTTTTTTTTTTATGGTTTGGGAAAATGTTCACTGCATGAGAACAAAACTCTGAATTATATTATAATTATATTATGGATTTTACCATATCATGCAGCCAAAATAGGAAAAAAAAAAACAAATAAAAGCAATTTTGGTGAACATATTTAAATAAAGCATAAGTATAAATAATTTATTTAAAATAAATTGATTTATAATAGAAACTGTTACACATACTTTGATATTGGGACTGATCAAAGTCATCTAAGAAACTATCCTAGCTTGTTTTCAAATTTCATTCATATGGATTTTTCTTTAGTCATCTCTTCTACAATTTCTACTAATGATGAAAAAAAATATCATGGTTTAATTGCAAAACCCAAAATGTTTTTTTTTTTTTTTTTTTTTTTTAAAGTACGGTATCATTTGGAGGAATCTGTAAAATCTTGAATTAGAGCTTACTGTAGACTGAAAGCTGCCAGTGCTGAGGCTTCGGCGGATGCTGGCGTGGCGTCTCATCAGGATCTCTCTGGGCTGGTTGTCATTGGGCAGAGCATGCTTACTCGTAAATGCCACCGTCTGAAAACACAAACATAAAGTAAGACAACGTTATTCGCATGGTTGTGGCCTTTATGAAGCGCTTCTTTCACACATTTGATCAAGTTTGGCTTCTGTGGACATTTGCAGAAGTCAGAATTGCAACTCCAGGGCAAACATCGTCCTCTGGAGATAATGGAGATAACCAAGGCTCTGATAAATAAACCATTAAGTTCTCTCTTTCAAGGGAGACAGCAGTCTTTGAAGCTCAGATTGCTCAACCAAAACTGAACACACCTATCTGAGCAACCAGGGGGAAGTTTATTTTCTTAATTACACCTTAAATATGTAAGGGCTGAGTTTCAGTGTGGCAGTTTTCAAAACTCCTCAGCAATATCATTAAAAAAAAGGACATTAGTTTATAATGTACACTGTTTAAAAAGAACAACTGTAAATATTTCAAATAAAGCTGCCAGTCCAACCAGGAAGCACGTTTTGCATTTGTCTGCACATAAAAGAGTCTTTTGAGGCATGATGTCATTGTCACTGGTGGAAAAGTACAGCCAGAGACACCATCGTTATGCAAAACAAGCCCAGTTTCAGTGTTTGGAGTTTTCACCTGTCGCTAACACATTACTGGAAAAGAAAAAAAAAAACTCTGATGAAGCTCTATTTACTGGGCAAGACCTGTGTGAAAAAAATAATAATTTTGTTTTTAGATTATCTGTTTTCCATGTCGACTCTGGCTGTCTGACTCAGTTAATTAGAGACTAACAATGTTCTGCTGAAGTTTCTGTAGCTACGGTACGGACCATTTGATTAGCTTTACGGAAATGTTTTTAAAATAAACACGCTAAAATCAACTTTAATAGCAATGAGTATTTTCTTCAGACATGGAAAAATGCAGGACCTTCTCTATAAGATTCGTAATGCGTCACTTTCTTTCCCTTTAACATAAGTGTGACATGAACACCGGCATGTTTCTCTTACCTGTTTGCGTCTGAATGAGAACCAAAGCTTATCTTGCTCACAGAAACAAAGAGCAAGATGGAAATGAAAGTAGAATAAGCAGAAGGGAACTAAAGCAAAGTCACAAGTAACCGAGCGTCCATCACAAACATCAAACTGAAGCGTTTTATGCAGTGGACTCCATTATTCATGGGTGCCAAGGATCAAGACATCTGCATAAATTAGATTTCCTCTAAAAAGCCTTACAACTGCCTGTCTAATAGTTCAAAACACCAAATATATCTTCAGGTGAATTAATACACACAGTACCAACAAGTGTGAAAAGTATCGTATTCTCACTATTGAGCATGAAAGAGGATGGTGATGTTACAGAGGTCTCTCTTCCAAAGTTATTGACAAACTGGCTGGGTTCCACACCATCGTGATTTGTTTGAAATGTGGAGAAATTTGAAACAATTCTTGTGGATTATTAAAAAATAAATTGAAAATGGTTTTATCACAGGGTCTGTCAGTTTGGGTTTACACCAAAGTAAAAGAGAAATAGTTCCCCAGACAGCAAATGACAATTACTCCATGGGTTGGGTCTGACAAATAAACGACCAAATCCTGACAACCTGGAGGCAATGCTGATTTTACTGTCCATATTACCCGTTGCCTGATCTTGTACATGTTCTTGGAAAGGAGTTTGTGCATGTTTTTCAGGTCCTCAGTCATGAATGTCTTCTTTGGTTTAGCAGATTCCTTCTTCTCTTCCCTAAATTAAAAAAAAAAAGACAAATTAATTCAGAAAGAACGGTGACTAGTTAGGATACTGTTGATCTGACCAAACAATCAGGAAGCTGTGTGGTTTTAGGATCAAGGTTTCATACTGAAGGGAGACGAGGGACGGAGCGGCACTGATGTCCCCAGACACCGTGTCCAGGATCTCCATGGCGTTCTGCAGCTCCAGCTTCTTGTACAACGCGACAATACTGGACTCAGCCCTGTTGTCTCGGATCAGGACCCTACGTAGTATTCGGTTGTTGAACTTCATGAACCTAGGATCGGGATAAGAAATTTTGTTTGTGTAAAATTATGTTCACATCCTAAGAAAAGCCAAATCTTACCGTTTAGCATCATATGTGCTAAATTAAATCAGCTTTCAAGAAACCTTGTGAAATGGGGTTAGATTGAAAAGAGACTTAGAGGAATTGGCCAAAATTCATTCAGAAAAGACTGAAATGCTCTTCTTGCCCAACCTGCTGGCTTGAAGATGCCAAACAAATAGTAAATAGGGGTGAA